ACAGGTCTGTGATTCATCAGTCTTACACAATTCACAGTGCTCACCACAACACATACCCTCCCCAATGTCCATCACCCAGCCACCTCACCCCCCAATTTCTTACCATTCTTGCCAACACTTGTTATTTTGGTTTTGTTTTGTTTTTGTTTTATAACAGCCATTCTAGTGGGTGTGAAATAGTATCTCATTGTGGTTTTGATTTGCATTTTACTAATGATGAGTGATATTGAGCCTCTTTTCGTGGACTTATTAGCCATTTGTACATCTTCTTTGGAGAAATGTCTAAGTCCTATGCCCATTTCTTAATAAGGATTAAGAAATTAATTAAGGATTTTCCTTTTCTTTTAAAGGGGGGGGTGTTTCCTTTTCTTTTAAAGGTGGTGAGTACATTAGTCAAGTTTAAGAGACTACCAACCAAATCCTGGAGATAAATCCATTGTCTACTTGACATTAAATTTCTTGTGAATAATCACTATGTTTACATTTACAAAACAATATTGCAATTATATGGTAAAACAAATTTAAATTTTAAATATTTTATTTATTTTTAAAGATTTTTTATTTATCTGGGAGAGAACAGAGCATGAGAGAATACGAGTAGGGGGGCAGAGGGAGAGGGAGAAGCAGACTCCCCACTGAGCAGGGAGCCCAATGTGGGGCTCGATCCCAGGACCCTGGGATCATGACCTGAGCCAAAGGCAGGCGCTCAATCAACTGAGCCACCCAGGAGCCCCTAAAATTTAAAAATTTTAATTCTAAGAACTACTGCACGTGAAATAAAATTCACCCACAGAGAAATGTACATAAGAGTACAGTTTGGTGAATTTTCACAAATGAACACGCATGTGTAACTAGGGCCAAGTTCAACAGAAAGAGCCTTACTAACTAACACCTTGGAAATCCCTCACCCAGTCACTATCCTTTTCCTGCCAAGGTAACCATGATTCCAAATTTTAGCAGATAACTTCCCTGTTTTTATGCTGAAGTGGGTTTACTCAGTATGTACTTTTTGCGCCTTTTCTTTTTTTAATTTTTTAATATTTTATTTATTTGTCAGAGAGAGAGAGAGAGAGAGCACAAGCAGGGGGAGCGGCAGGCAGAGGGAGAAGCAGACTCCCCGCAGAGCAGGGAGCCCGATGCGGGGCTTGATCCCAGGACCCTGGACTCATGACCTGAGCTGAAGGCAGACGCTTAACGACTGAGCCACCCAGGCCCCCCTCTTTTCTTTCTTTTAAATTTATTTTGGTGAGTGCATGCACGCACGCTGTCTGCAGGGGAGAGGGGCAGAGGGAGAGAGAGAGAGAGAGAATCCTCAAGCAGACTCCCGGCTGAGTTCGGAGCCTGATCCCAGGACCCCGAGATCAGTACCTAAGCCGAAATCATGAGTCGGCTACTCAACCAACTGAGCCACCCAGGTGACTTGCACCTTACTTTCTATGCTCAAATTTACATTTCTGCAGGTAAGCCATTTCATGTTGGTCCTTTCGGGTCAGTCTTCTCTTTGTTGCACAGCATTCCATTATATGAACACTGTGTGGATTTATTAATTTATTCTGTTGTTTTTGGTCTTTTGGGTTATTTCCATTTGGGGGCCATTCAAACAAATGCAGCTGTGAACATTCTTGTGCCTGTTTGTTGGTGCACCATTAATCCTCGCTGGATTTGTAGAAGTGGACCCTGTTTGCTGGGTCATAGGATAGGCTTCTTTGGTAGATAGTGCCAAATTGTTTTTTATTTTATTTTTAAAGATTTTATTTATTTAACAGAGAGAGACACAGCGAGAGAGGGAACTCAAGCAGGCGGAATGAGAGAGGGAGAAGCAGACTTCCCACCGAGCAGAGAGCCTGATGCGGGGCTCGATCCCAGAATCCTGGGATCATGACCTGAGCCGAAAGCAGACGCTTAACTCTCTGAGTCACCCAGGTGCCCCCAAATTGTTTTTTAAAGGAGTTGTTCTAGTTTACATTTCAGAAGCAAGGTAGATGAACTCAGTTACTCCACATCCTTGTGGTGTGGGAAACAAAGGCAAAAGAAAAAACTAAATTTCCTTACTATCTAGAGCCCACTGACAGGTCCTCGAAATAGGCAGAGTGCCCTTCCTCTAGGAACTCAGCTGCCTCAATGTTAATGCTTTGCTAAGGGGAAAGGGCCATCTTAGCTTAACATTATCCTGCTCCCCCCCCACCCCAGGATCCTATAAGTTTACTTTAACATATAAAAATTCATAAAAAAAAAATAAGAAGATAGCAGGAGGGGAAGAATGAAGGGGGGAAATCGGAGGGGGAGACGAACCATGAGAAACGACAGACTTGAAAAACAAATTGAGGGTTCTAGAGGGGAGGGCTGTGGGGGGATGGGTTAGCCTGGTGATGGGTATTAAGGAGGGCACGTTCTGCATGGAGCACTAGGTGTTATGCACAAACAATGAATCATGGAACACTATATCAAAAACAAATGATGCAATGTATGGTGATTAACATAACAATAAAAATTTTAAAAATATATAAAAATTCCTTTGGAAACTTCCTTTATCTCTAACCCCCATGATACACGTTAGCAATCATCCCCCAAGCATATGGCCCACTGATATACAACTGAAGGGTCTCACGACTGAGGTTGTATTAGATGATAATGACATTTTCCTAACAATAGCTAGCCCCCTCAAGGTCCTAGAAACCTTGCTTCCAAAATTCCTCAGAGACTTACCATCCCTAACCCCCTCTCAACTTGAAAGTATATAATGGGCCACTCCTCATGACCCCAGTGTAGCTCTTTCTGCCCGCCAGTCCTGTGCCTGAGCACGGAAGACCTCTCAAGAATTCTTTCTTAGTCATGAGCTCCAAACCCCAACATTTCCTACATCACTTGGAGTATTTTGCCAACACTTGGTATCTTCCTTTATTCCCTTTTCTATTGTATTTTGAAATATAAAAACAACTCAAGCAAAGTTTAGATTGCTTTTGGGGGGACCTTTTAGTTGTTGGCTTGGTTCTCTCAATTGTTAACCATCTCAGACATCTACTTTGTCCAGCCGCCAGGTGTGGGCTGTGAGTGCGTTTTCGGTTTTGCTCAACATTTTTGCTTACTCTACTCCTTGGATGTCATCGGGCGAAGAAAATAAGGTGTGTGTCCAAGGCGGGGCAAGTCCTCTGGAAAGCTGGTCACTTAGTAGGCGAAACTTAGGCGGACCTTCCTGTCAGTTCTTTACTAGGGTCCACGATCTAGGCGTTCCTGCCCGCCGCTCGTCTCCCCACTGCTACCGGGGCCCGGGAGGCACCGGGAACGCAAAGCAGCCGCCCTCCCCGGCACCAGCCAAAACTGGGGTGGAGCGGGGCGGCGGACCCGGTCCTTGCGGAGCATGCGCAGACCAAGCCCAGCGCATGCTCCGCAGAGCGGCGGGTCCACAGATGAGGGGAGTCGAGTCTCCCGCGCCCCACCGCCCTTGCCGGATTTGCTGCCAAGACGCTTGTTCCGAGCCCTGGCTGCCAATAAAGTTCGTTAAAAAATCATAGTCATTCTTAAAGGAGCGAAGGAAGCCTCGAGCCAGCCAGGCGGCCCCGCCGGGGGAGCGGCGCCCTAGGAGGAGGAGGAGGTGGTGGTGGTGGCGCCGGCGGCGGTAGCGGTTGCGCCGCGACCAGGAGGAGCCGGTCGCGCCGGGCGGGGGACGGTGAGTAGCGGCTTGCACTCCCGGGCAGCGGCGCGGCTCTGACTCGCCCTCTGCAGTGGCTGAGGGCTCCCCCAGCTCTGCTGGGGAGGGACCCGCTTCTTCCCGGGGTCCCGGGATATGCCGTACTCCGGGGACTCTACGTAGAGGGGTGTGGGGGGCAGGGGCCTCCAGGCCCAGGCTCCCATCCCCCGGCCCCGGCCGCTGAGCGCCCGCTCCCCAGCCTCTGAGCGCCGTACCCAAGTTCCGGCTGGAGAAGGTGGGCGGCACTACCTGCCCGGCAGCCGCTCTCAGCACCCAGCGGCCCGGGCTCCCAGGGTGTGAGTCCCTGGAATTGCCCCTTGGGCGGGAAGGAGGGAGACGGAGCGGGGGCGAGGCGCTGGCCTGCAGCCTGGCTGAGCACCCAGCTTCTTGCCCACTCCCAGCGCCCACATGGGGAAGGGGCGACCCAGGCCGGGCGAGACACCAACAAGGAGCGTCAAGTGCCGGGTGCGGTTTGGTCAGGAGGGGGGTCCCAAGCTCTGCCCTGGCTTTTAGAACCCCCTCCTCCCTGCGGCGGGGCCCCCTCCTTCCCGCGGCCCCACCCTTCTCTAGTTTCTTGCTCAGAGACTGCTGGAATATGAATGAGCCAGACTGCACTATTTCATTGATACTGGCTGCCACAGAATTACTTAACTCGGAGAACCAAGGAGCCTTCGGCAGCTCCCAGACGTTAGAACCTGAGGGTGCGTGAGAGAGCATTAACTTCACTATCAGGAGTACCGGTAGAGTCTGAAAGGGTCGTTTCTCTAGGTTTTATGTAACTCCTAACGTGTTCTAGGTAATTTCATTGGACCTAACAAGTTTTTCAGTGTTATAAACACAGTCGTACCTGTACTTAAGTACCTTTTCTAATTTATTAGACTGCATTGGTTGGAAAAGTTTTTAAAATTAAATTTGGGGAAAACGTATTTAGAAAAGAGTATTTATGCAAAGCATTGCTGTAAGCCTTTAATTATTATACTCAGAATTATCTTATTTTCTAAGAACTTAACTGTTTTGATAGAGTGCATTAAGTCTACAGGGCAGTAGTAGCTGATAATCACCAGACTGGCTGTGTTAAAATCTGATTAGGCTTTTCTTTTTTAAATTTTATTTTTAAAATGATACGGTAAAATTGACTTTTTTTTTTAAGATTTTATTTTATTTATTTGACAGAGAGAGACACAGGGAGAGAGGGAACGCAAGCAGGGGGAGTGGGAGAGGGAGAAGCAGGCTTCCCGCCAAGCAGGGAGCCCCATGCGGGGCTCAATCCCAGGACCCTGGGACCATGACCTGAGCCGAAGGCAGACGCTTAACAACTGAGCCACCCAGGCGCCCCTAAAATTGACTTTTTAAGGGGTGTGCCGTTCTGTGAATTTTAGATTACTGCAGTCACCACGACATTCAGGACATAGAACAGTGCTTATCACCTCCCACCCCAAATTCATGCTATCTTTTTATATCCTTCCCCTAACCCCTGGCAATTACTAAACTTTTCCAGATGTCATATAAGTGGAATCATACAATATGTAACCTTTTGATGCTGACTTCTTTCACTCAGCATAATGCCTTTGAGATTCCTCAAAGTTGAATGTATCAACAATGTCTTCTTTTTTTTATTGCTAAGTAATGTTCCATTAGATGGATGTGCCAGTTTGTTTAAACATCCATCCACTGAAGGACATTTGGAGTGTTTCCAATTCTTGGTGATTATGAATAGAGCTGCTATAAACATTCGTGTACAGGTTTTTGTGTGAACATAAGTTCGCATTTCTGTAGGGTATTGCTAGGAATGAGATTGCAGGGTCATATAAAAGATGTTTAACTTTGTAAGGAACTGTCATGCTGGTTTCCAGAGTGGCTGTTACCATTTTGCATTCTTACCAGCACCGTGTGAGACTACCAATTGTTCCACATCCTTGTAAGCACTTGGTATTGTCAGTAATTTTAAATTTAGCCATCTCATAGGCGTGTAGTGGTATCCCATGGTTTTAGTGTGTCTTAACTAATGACTAATGATTTTGAATATCTTTTTATGTGCTTATTTGGCATATATAATCTTTGATGGGTATCTGGGCAAGAGTATTGCCCATTTTTCAAATGGGTTGTTTGCTTTCTTATGGGTTTTTTTTTTCCTTATGTTGAGTTTTGAGGGTTCTTTATATGTTCTGGATACAAGTTATTTGGTAGATATGTGCTTTGCAAATATTTTCTCGCAGTCTGTAGCTTGTCTTTTCATTCTTTTAACAGTATCATTCACAGAGCAAATGTTTTTAATTTTTGTGAAGTCTAATTTATCAATTTTTCCTTTTGTGGAAATTTTTTTGGTATGATGTCTAAGAACTCTGCCTAACCGCAGATCAACATTTTCAGCTTGTAAAAGATTTCTTCTAAAAATTATTCTTTTACTTTATTTATTTTATTTTATTTTTTAAAGATTTTATTTATTTATTTGAGAGAGAGAGTACCTGAGTACAAGCAGGGGGCAGTTGGGGGAGCAGAGGGAGAGGGAGAAGCAGACTCCCCGCAGAGCAGGGAGCCCTGCCCCGGGCTGAATCCCAGGACCCTGAGATCATGACCTGAGCTGAAGGCAGACGCTTAACCGACTGAGCCACCCAGGCACCCCCAGTATCACACTTTGTTAATTAGTATAGCTTTATGGTGTCTTAAAATTGGCTACTATGATTTCCTCCGATTTTATTCTTTTTAAAAATTGTGTTAGCTATTCTAGTTTATCTGCCTTTCCATATAACGTTTAGAATCAGCTTGTCTCAACTGCAGAAAATCCTGCTGGCGCTTTGGAATTGGATTAAACCATGGATTGATTTGGGGAGAAGTGCTGTTTTTACTTTTTTGAGTCTTCCAATCTGTGAACATGGCACATCTTTTTATTTATTTAGGTCTTTGTTTCATTAGTGATTTATAATTTTCAGCATATAGGTCCTGTACATGTTTTGTTAAATTTATACCAAAGTATTTAATTTTGGGGGAACTTTTATAAATGTCACTTAAAAATTTTGTTTTCATGGGTGGTTGGCTGGCTCAGTTGGAACAGCATGTGACTCTTGATCTTGGGGTTGTGAGTTCCAGCCCCATGTTGGGTGTAGAGATTACTTAAATAAATAAAATAAATTTAAAAAATAAAAATGTACAATTTTTCAAATTTTATGTTGTTAGGGTATAGAAATACAATTCAGTGTTGTGTGTTGCCCTTGTATCCCGTGTCCTTGCTAAACTCATTTATTCGTTCTGGGATTTTTTTTTTTTTTTAATTCCTTGGAGTTTTCTGTAAAGACACTCATGTAATTTGTGAATAAGGGCAGTTTTATTTAATTTTTCTCTAACTTGTAAGAGTTTTATTTATTTTTGTCACCTAGTTTCTGGCTAAGACTTTGTGTATGATGAATAGGAGTACTGAGAGTGAAAATACTTACCTTGTTCTCAGTCTAAAGGTTAAAGCAGTCCGGCTTTCAGGGGCACCTGGCTAGCTCAGTCAGTAGAGCATGCGACTCTTGATCTCTGGGTCATGAGTTTGAGTCCCATGTTGTGCGTAGAGTTTACTTGAAAAAAAAAAAGCAGGCTTTCAGAGTTAAGTATAATGTTAGCTGTGGAGTTTTTTTAATAGATGACATTTATGAGGCTGAAGAAGTCTTCTGTTTCTAGTTTGTGGACTATTTTTCTGACAAACGGATTTGAATTTTGTTATATATTTCCTCTGTTTCAGTTGATATGGTGATGAGGTTTTTCTTTTTTACTTTGTTAATTTGGTAGATTACACTGATTTTTGAGTATTGAACCAGCCTTGCATTCCCAGAATAAAGCCCACTTGGTCCTAGTTATTCTATTTGTATATTCCTAGATTTGATTTACTAATATTTTGTTGAGGACTTTTGTGTGTCCTTGTCCAGTTGTTTTTGTTTTGTTTTTTGGTACTGTTTTTGTGTTGGTATCAAAATAATACTGGCTTGGGGCGCCTGGGTGGCTCAGATGGTTAAGCGTCTGCCTTCGGCCCAGGTCATGATCCCGGGGTCCTGGGATCAAGCCCCACATTGGGCTCCTGGCTCAGCAGGGAGCCTGCTTCTCCCTCTCCCTCTGCTTCTCTCCCTGCTCATGCTCTCTCTCTCTCTGTATGTCTTTGTCTCAAATGAATAAACAAAAAAAATAATACTGGCTTTATAAAATAAGTTGGGAAGTATTCCCTTCTCTTCTGTATTCTGGAAGAGAGTGTATATCATTGCTGTCAATTCTTGAAAGGTTTGGTAAAATTCTCCAGTGAAATCACCTGAGCCTGGAGATTTGTCTTTGAGATTTTAAGTTACAAGTTCAATTTCCTTTATAGTTACAGGGCTATTCAGATTATCTATTTCATTTTCAGTGAGTTGTACTTAATGCTTTTTAAGGAATTGGTCCATTTCATCTAAGTTGTCAATTTTTTAAGGGGCAGAGGGAGAGAGTGTGCGGGGCTCCATCTCACGACCCTGAGATCATGACCTGAGCCAAAATTAAGAGTCAGATGCTTGGGCGCCTGGGT